AATGAGAAATCATTTTTGGAAATGCCTAAAGACATTGAAATCTCCACCTGCTTCCATGCAAAGGAACAATTATCACCATCACAAAATTCGATTAACCGAGACAACCCACTATCCAAATACCTCCATCAAACAAGAGACTCAATAAGAAAACACAAACAAACCAGTTTAAATCCCAGCAAATTCCGATGAAGCACATTCATTTACCTTCAGAAAAATTACAGACCGCAACAAGTACGTGAAGCCCATTAATGATTCGAACGGAAAATTAACCACATGAAAACGAAAGAGAAAAATTAGCTAAATTATCACTCGAAATGGCGGTTTAAAGGGCAAGAAAAGACAAATGAAGAAAGAAACACACCGCCCACAAATTCATCAAAACTAGAAACGACGGAAAAAAAATCCCAAAATGAAAAGAAAAATTATTGATAGCCCACGAATGAAAGAGGCGCAGAAATTTACCTCGTAGATTCCGCAAACAGATTATCAAGAATCCATGTCTGTTCTTCTGATGTGTGTGTGAATTTCATATGCTTCGATTTGTAAGGAAAAAAAAGACCCCTTTTACTAAAACAACTATTGTTCTTATTATTTGTTGCTATGCAATCTCCCCTATATAATTCTCGAATACGCTGATTGTTTCTGGTGCTTCGGAATCTTACTTGGCCAATAATCATGCTTCGTAATTAGGTTTGGATAAATATTATTGATATACTAATAATTAATAATTTAGGTTCGGACATTCTATAAATATTTTTTAACTAACTTAAGTATTTTAATATCACTTGTACTAATATAACATTTTAATTATTTGTAATTTTACATAGTGAGACACTAAGTGACTAATATATCCATGACTTTTGATTTGTTTCCTTCAATTAGCTATTGAATTATAAATGTATTTCAAAAGTTGATAACTTTTGTTTTTCTTATCGGTTTTACATATATAGAGCACATTTGCTTTCTATGATAGGATAAGATTAGGCCATTAATATGGGTTAATCTTATGTTTGTTAACCATGATTTCGGCCGGAGATAA